TGAAAAATCACACTTGCAAATGATGTCTGAGCATACCTCCTGATAAGTAAAGAAGGAAGTAAATTAGCAAACAATGGGGGGTATGAGAAGATCCTGCAATGACAAACAGGCCATTTTCAGCACTTAAGGAATACCTTCCTAAACTGACAAGTTCTAAATCTCAGTAACGCTGGGTTCTCTCTAACCTGGCTCTCTTCTTATGGTGCGAAAAATACGGTACCTTCCTAAACTGACAATTTCTAAATCTCAGTAAGGCTGGGTTCTCTCTAACCTGGCTCTCTCTCATTCTGTCCTGCAGAAAAAAAAATATTGGATCTATCTGAGGCCTACCTCTTTTCACGCCAAAACATGTCACACTTGTCACATAGCCTATTGCCTCAAAGTACTGCCCTGAAAGTACCACCAGTTGTTTGGGTTTTTGAACTCCAATCAGAAGGAGGCGGAATGTCCAGAAGAAGAGGTTTGCCTGATGCAGGCAGAAACTGGCTGTACTGGAAGAAAAGGCATTCTTGCCCCCCACCCTGCTTCTGATGCTCTGTCCCTTCACCGCTGGTGACAGACTGGCCATGGAAATTCACTGGAAATGAATGTGGTAGACATTCTTGAATTGGGACAAAGTGTGTTATGCATCTTATCTACACGAACAGAGTGTTTCTCTGTAACTTGATCAAAATGCAATTTAGCTTGCAAGTTGAATTATGAGGGAATATTCTTGATAAGATTTAAGGTAAAAATTCAACTTGTGTTTTTGAAGGATTAAATGGTGTTTTTTTCATTTTGAGATTTTTTTACAGGGCTTAATTGTGGAGTGGAGTGGAAGGAAACAGAGAAATGCTTTAAAGAAGTCTGACTGCTTTATGATTTCATTCATAAATTATGTTAACCTCTCAACAACTTTAAGCCTAACTTTCCTCACCTCAGCTGGGCTTCCTCTTTAGCTAACGGAAACCATGCTATGCAAATGAACACTGGTGGGACTGAGGTCTCAACTACACATTGTAATATTCCTGTTTTTACATCGGGTTCACCAAGCTTGGAAATGATTTTAAAACACCCAACTACACTATGTACAGCTAAACACACTATTTTTTTTTTTTTGCTGAAAAGTGGGGTTCTTAAAATACCTATGAGAGGGTTGTTTATTTTGAATTGATTCTGCTTGCATTTTTAAAGTCATTTTGGCATGTGTGATTGCTTGTGTTGGAGTAAATAGTGTCCGTGCGGGTCTGCGGGGTTTGATGAAGCAGATGCCAACCAAGTACAATGGGTTTTAGACTGCAGAATACTGTGTAGTCAAAATTCTTAATTGAAAAAAAATCTGTTTCTATTTTAGTACTGTGCCAGTTCAGGACTTATATATACATGTATAAAATTAAATATTAAAAATTTTAGAAGGCTGAGGACAGGCAGCAGCTGCTGTTGCTGCTTTCTTTCCTTTAGCTCTGCTAAAACTTACAATTCTTGCTCCCCCAGCCTCCTCTGGTGCATTGTTGAAGGAAACCCTGGAGCTGTTTCCTCTGCCATGGACAGGGGTGGCTTCATGTCTTCCTGGGAACTTGCTCTGCTCTCCTCCTTGGATTGATACCACTTTTGGAAATGACTCCCTAGCCAGAATATGGGACTGACTCTCCCTCTCAACTCTGTGGCGTTCCCAGTAGTTGGAGAAAGCCACACTGACACAAAATCATGTGATGTTTATATTGATTTCTTAAAAACCCGAACTAAATTAATTCAACAGTGTAGTTGCACCCTGAAATGATAAGATAAAAGCTTTGCTTCTATGCCGAAACTGTGGTCTTCCTCATTCTGGCTGTGATGTTCCTTTGTTCTCAACATCAAAGCAACCTACAGGTAAATCATTACCTCAGGAGAATAGATTTCAAAGCTACACCCGAAAAGATATACTAAAACTCTGATTTGAGAATTAAGATAATGTTTCCATGCACTAAAAGGAACTCTCTTAGTCAGAAATTTTCAAACTATAGCATGGAGAGCTGGTGACAAACCCGAAGATGGAAATCTAAAGTTTCAAGATTGGATAGCATCAGAATTTGCATGCCTTCCCTTCTTTCCAGTCAAGATGTTGCTGGATTGGTTGTCTTCTGCCATAGGACCTTCAGGATGGCCTTACTGGCTTTGTGGAGATTATCTACCACCGTGCTGTAGTGCTCCCTCATCCCAATCTGGTTTCAAAGAAGAAGAACCAGAAATAACTGCTGCTGCTGTTTTTCTGTTGTTTCCCTATATATCGCTTTAAGAGAGGGGAATCATGTCTTTTCCTCCATAGAAGGCCTATGTGGTCCTCCAGATGCTGTTGGATATCAATTCCCATCATCCTTCAATCTTGCTGGTACCAGTGGGGGCTGGTAGGAGTAGCAGCTTACAGCAGTGGTCCCCAACCTTGGGTCTCCAGATGTTCTTGGACTACAACTTCCAGAAGCCTTCACCACCACCTCTGCTGGCCAGGATTTCTGGGAGTTGAAGTCTAAGAACATCTGGAGGCCCAAGGTTGGGGAGCACTGGCTTACAGCATCTGGAGAGCTCTGTGTTCTGCGCCTGGTTCCGTTGGTTCATTCTCCAAGTCTAGAAGTCATTGTATTCAGGATGAAATTGTATGCAGCCATAGAACAGGAGATTTGTACTGAGCTGGGAGTCCCACAAGGCAGAGTAAAATGTGTAATCATCTAGTGGGCCTAATGCATGAATCTAAGGAGTGAAATGGACTCCACCTCAATTGTTACTTGGTTAAATAAATAACATTCTAGTTGTCATGTTTCAGAGATATAAAAGAATTGGTATATAAGATGAGCTTCCTCTAACTTAATTGTCTCAAATTAATACTCTTATTTCAAATATTCGAAATTTCTGAAATCCATGTACAACAGGAGTGGGCAGACATCTGGCATCTGTCTTGTTTTGTTACTTCGTCTATTTCCAGTTTAAACTTGTCCCAGTTCCCCGAGATCTCTTACCCTGATGAATTATGAGTTATTGCAGGGCTTTAAAAAGAGCTGTGAATGTAGGAAAAAAGCTGGGATCTGAAACCTGAGCTTCTGCATGGTTGAGTTGGATATCCCAAGGTGTAAATTAATGCTTTCATTCTCCTTTGCTACTGGTGCGTGAAGAAGGTGGCAGCTGCACAGACCTGAGGTTCAAGTAGTCCCTTTGTGGAATAGAAGACCATGGTTTCTTATTACATCTGAACTTGATTGGTGTTTTCGTATTTGTGGTGGCACTGGCAACCTTCTTGTCAGAGGAACTCTGGACAAAAAGAATTACAGTGGTGCCCCACATAGCGACGATAATCCGTTCCGGAAAAATTGTTGCTATGTGGATTCGTCGCTATGCGGAACAAAAAAGCCCATAGGAATGCATTAAAACACGTTTAATATGTTCCTATGGGCAAAAACCTCGCCGTTATGCAAAAATCCTCCACACAGCCACCATTTTCGCTGCCCAGTAAGTGAGGAATGGGCGCGAAAACATTGCGGGTGGCCATTTTTTTTACCCGGCAGCCATTTTGGGACCGCAGATCAGCTGTTCTAAGAACATCGCTATGCGAAAATCGGTAAGCGAAACAGCTTACCGATCATCGCAAAGCGATGTTTTACCATTTAAAACATCGCAATGCGATTGCAAAAACGATTGCAAAAAAACACATCGCTATGCGGATTTGTCGTTAAATGGGCTGCCCGTTATGCGGGGCACTGCTGTACAGGTTATACAGACTGTGCCATAAGATTTCAAGAGCAAGCCTTAGTGTTTATGTTAATAGGTACCAGGACATACATGAGTAGATGCTTAAGGACATCAACCCCACTCATAACAAGCGATTGCAAAAACGATTGCAAAAAAACACATCGCTATGCGGATTTGTCGTTAAATGGGCTGCCCGTTATGCGGGGCACTGCTGTACAGGTTATACAGACTGTGCCATAAGATTTCAAGAGCAAGCCTTAGTGTTTATGTTAATAGGTACCAGGACATACATGAGTAGGTGCTTAAGGACATCAACCCCACTCACAACAAACAAAAGCGTGCTGCTTATCGTCCCATAATGCTTCAAGCACTACCTGGGTGGTTTACAAGTTAATTAGGCAGGCTACACATTGCCCCCCCCCCAGCGAGCTGGGTACTCATTTTCCCGACCTCAGAAGGATAGAAGGCTGAGTCAACCTTGAGCCAGATACCTGGGATTAAGCCCCAGGTCGTGAGCACAGTTTTAGCTGCAATACAGCAGTTTAACTCCTGTGCCATGAGACTCATGGGATCCATCCCTTGTGTTCAGTTTAACCACTGCACCACGAGACTCATGGGATCCATCCCTCGAGCCTGATAAGAGCTTGGAAGAGATCCTTTTTTGGATTCTCAGCTCCTCAAATCCCTAAGACAGCTGGATTCTGGTATAATTCATGTCACAGTCTACACATGTAGCATAGTGGGGGCTCAGACTGGCCTTCCAGCACCTGTATTTCATGTTCTGGCTATTTATGAAGCTACATTTATTTTAAAAAATTGCCTTTTCTGTATTTAAGCAAATGTGTGTTCATTTTAGCAATATCTGGAAGTGCTGATTAGCAATATCAGCAACAGCACTTGTTTCCTGTAAAAGTTGTTGTTCTCAGGTTTTTGGTAAGCAAGCATGAGAGAGCTTTTTGAAAAAGGAGATTAGTCATTCGCATAGCAGTAGTTGTTGGCTGCATGAGGCTGATTGATAATAAACCCTTCCTTATAGCATATATTTCCTGGTTGCAAATGCAAAGCATTGTCGAATTTAAGAATTCCCCATATCTAGAGATGGGAGTTTTCCTGGACATGTGCTGTAGACAAGATGAATCACTTGTTTTTGTTTTCGTTTTATTTTATATTACCCGCTTCTTCAGAATTCTTTTTAATACAGACAACTTTTGCTAGCAATAACATACCGTAAGTAATCTGCAAACATCTCATTCAAGTAGAAGTCTTATTTCCATTTCAACTGCTTTATTATGCTCTCGCAGGAATTTATTACGGTCTTGGTTCGAGACCCACGGCTACAAAAGGAAGACTTCTGGCATTCATATATAGATTATGAGATCTTCATTCATGTAAGTAAATATGCTACAGTATGCTACAAATATGCTCCCGTCTTTTTTGGTGGCACTTCTTTCTTAATGCTATGATCATTTTGTAAATATGACTGTCTGCAGCCAAGAAGGTAACTGAGCTCACTGGTTAGAGATCATGAAAGTTGCAATCTAACCTTCAGATGGAAGGTGGAATTTATTAACTAGAGTGGGTTTGTTTAAATAGATCATGAGTCTGGGTCCCTTAGGAATACAAATCAGAATGTAGGGTAGATATAGCATATACATAATTTACTGTCCTCCCAGTCTGCTGTAAATCCTGAGATGGATTAAACTTTGGTTAACACTGGGCATTCTGAAATACTGGCTTGGATCAAGGAATGGATCTTTCAGTTACACACACTGAAAGAAGTGAGAAGGCAAGCCAGTTTTATGTTCTGGTTTAAAGTTATTTTAACCTGAGAATAATTTGTGAAGATCGTGCTGTGATTTGATTTATATTCTTGCCATTTTTCTCACTCATGCTGAGCTGAATTTAATTTTGGATAATTCTTTACAAGAATTAGCACAGAAACTGTGTTTGGGGTCAAGTAGGCTTATTAGGACTTTGCAAGAGTATTCTTAAGTCTCCCCAATGTCCTGCTCCTGCTCTCTAAGATTTTGTAGGAGGCTATGAGAAAACCTCATTTGAGGAGTAACTTGCTAGATGGCACAGAGGCTGCCTCCCCAAAAAGGGACCTTGCCGGCCATCATGGTATTGGTAGTGCCCCTTCATAGTGTGTTAATCCTCAATGCAAGTACATCCTTTTTGTCTCTCCCCACCCAGACAAACAGCATGTGTTTTACGAGAAAAATGTCTTGTGTCCGACGGCGCTTTCGAGAATTTGTGTGGCTGCGTCAGAGGCTTCAGAGCAATGCGGTGCTAATGTGAGTAACTTCTAGGCAACTAGAGGAGAAGCTCTCTTGCAAAATTGCCTTCAATTTTGTAGCATCAGAGAAGAACACTAGCAGATGGGGAGAGGAAATGCCTGTGCAGCCATGTATATAAGGAGCTGATAGGCTCATGTTAAGCCTTCCTCTCTGTTGAGCAATGCACACACAGCCCCAGTCCGATACCAAGTGCAATAACAGGACCATCATTTGAGTTCACAAATAGACCACCATTTACTTTTCCATTTGCTCAGTGTTCCTTTCACTAGACGGTTATAGCCTGAACTATATCCTGGCAAACCAGTTTCTGATTCTTGCCATACATACATATGTCAGACATCACATCCAACTCTTCAGTTCTTTTTCCTAACAGTGAGCTTCTGCACTCTCTGAACCGAACCACTGTTTTTAATGTCAAGAGCAGTGTTGGGAAACTCACTGGACCGTTGTTCTCATAATCCTGTACTGTTTATTGGCAGTGCTGGTTAAGGCTGCTGGGAGTTGCAGTGCAGAAACCATTGGCAAACCAAGAGTTGCTCACAGCCCAAAATCTGGCTTTGGACTCAATATGCATGTCAACATTCGGTATGCTTTCCTAGAAACTAGATTTGGTATATTCCTTTGCTAGATCTTTTAGGCACACTCAAAATATCTTGTCTAAAAGTGGGCAACAGTGGTCCTCCAGGTTCCCCCCCTCATTCAACATCCAACAGCCCATTAGCCAGCATAACCAGTAATAGGGGATTATGAGAGTTACAGTGCAATAATAATATCTGGATGGCTACAGTTTCTTTCCAGAGCTAATATAAAGTGATGATATTGAATGTGAGCTTCAGTTACTGCCTTCTAATACATTGTGAGTCTAATAAAGTAAACTGGCATCCATGAAAGCTTATGTTGCCATCTGTCTATTAATCTTTATATTGTCCCAAACATAGTGTGGCTACAGCTCTGGAATCTCCCATCTAAGATGCATGGTTTTTGGTTTGTAAAGTATGTGACTCTAGGTTTTATAACCCCCCTGTAGTAATTTCAAGAAATATTTGATAATTCCATCTTTATCACGAATTCAATACCCCTTTTTAATGTCCTTTTATTCATGTTGGGCCACTAACTATTTCTATTTCTTTTTTTTTTAAAGACAATTACCAGAACTTCCACCAAAAACACCTTTTTTTAACACAAATAATCCCCATCATGTGGACCAGCGGCGGCAAGGACTGCAAGAATTTCTCCAAAAGTGAGTACATTGTTGTTGTTATTCCATTTGATTGTTTTATTGTTTTAATAAGATAATTAATTTCTTGTTCCTCCAGTGTGTCTCATCTCTTGTACATGACAGCCACCTAGTGGCCACAGTTATGCATTTGCACAACCTCTGTTTCTCATTACCCAACTCAGATACATACTTAGGAGATGCTTGAGTTCTGCAGCTGTGAATTTTTGTTTGCTCCAGGATATGTAATTTTGTCTCTTTTCATTCCTCTTGAAATGATGTGGTATGTTGGATAGTAATTTTTATTTATACGTAATAGTGTTGCAAAACTAATCTGTAGCTCTTCCACTATAAGGTAAATGGTTTTTTAATAAGCAGGAGAAAAATTCCCTTTATTTACATTAAGAAAATGTTCAAATATGGGGGGGGAGGTGTTCATATAAGGCAAACTACATTCTGGTGTTAAGTTGTTTGAGGACAACCGCATAAACAGGAATTTTGTGACAGTGTTCGCTGGAAGCTTGTTCATCAGATTTCTTGTGGTTGGTGGGTACTGAGATTACCAGGACTGTGGTACTTGCATTGCCGTAGCTGCCAATTTTTACTGACACAGAAGACTGTGGATTTATAAGTAGGATTTATAACATTGGAGGAAGAAAAAGCTGCTCGGACAATAGCTGTGTTACAGTGTTTATACAAGTTTGTACTCCTCCCATCCCACGGTCACACCATGCTGATCATTGGACAGAGAAGAGGTTTCCTCTGCTACCTTAAGCAATTGATGACTGGAAAAACAGAGGAATCCCCATCTGGGAACTCTTCTCAAATGGACAGGTGCAAAGCATCATATGTTTGGGTTCCCTTACCTATGGGGCTGAATAGGGGTGTGGAGATGAATGGTTGTGTTACAGCATTAAACATAATTTAAAAATAAGAATTCTGTGCCTTTCCATGTAATATTCTCCAGAAGAGAAAATATAGATGTGCAACTGCTGATGTATAGATGTGCCAGTGTATACTTCTTTACTAAAATCTACACTTAAAAGGAAATGGCATGAATGTTATTAAACCAAAATTAAGAAGACTTTTTAACCCGCCATAACTACCATACTGCTTTTAACAATTATCTGGCCTTGAAGAGGAACTAATTATGGCAGAGAGCCACTTTGGAGAGGGACATGGCCACCCTATCTAACTTAACTGCTCACATGCCACGTTCCACCTACAACCTTCTTTCCCCCCCCTTAACTGGGAGTCAGTAAGAAAATTGGTTGGTGGTTCTGACTCCACCAGTATATGCAGCGTTGACAGATATCAATGATTCTTGTGTAAGTGATGCCACTGCAGAAGTTGGTTTCTTTCACCCAGGATTTAGGGTTGAGGATCACACTCGCCAATGACTTTTAAGGGAGCCCTGGAAAATAGTACAGCCACGGCTGACTGGGAATGCCATTTGTATGACTGACAGTCCCACGTGGGGAATGGTATAACTGCTGTGATTGCAGCCATGCCTCCTTATGGACAGCTTCATGTTGACAGTGTCTTTGCATGCTTCCCTCCCAGCCATGTGTTCAACAGCAGCCCTTGCTGTGTATTGCATAAGTTTTATGGAGGCTGTCTGTTAATGTGATGTGGCCCTAAAACATTCTAGAAACCCACTTTGATTAGCAATTGTTGCAAGTGTGGAATTTGACATAGCGGCACCATTTTGCCACAGTTGACATGATCATTGATGTGAATTGTTTGGATGGTTTATAGTCAGCCAGGTTTATGTAAGTCAATGGCTTTCCATATCAAAGCTCCCAGGTTTGGTCCACATAAAACTGGAAAGATACCCTCAGTGAAACCCCCGAGAGCTGCTGCCATTCATTGTACAATGGGATGTGCCACTTCAGAGAGCCCAAGAAATCCCCATTGGCTGTGCTACCTGTAAACCACAAGTGATCGGAAGTCCACTTCTGGTTCTATGAAAACTCCATTTGGCAGGGAAGGGTGGGGAACGTAGACACTGGAGTGGGTGGCTGTACTTTGCTCCAAAGGAGAATTACAGCTCTTCGAGTTTTCTCAGAAAGGCAGTTCTCCTTCTGTGGTGCAGGGAACAATACGTTTTGGAGAACTGTAGAAATAAGTGTGGGGTGTGTGTGCATGTTGCCTGCCCCTGTTGTAGACAATCCTGAGCTAGATGGATGGTCTGACTCAAGATAAAGCAGTCTCCTGTGTTTCAGAGGAACTGGAGACTGCCTGGAAACTGTAATGTTCTTATAAGAACACAAAGAAGAGCCCTGCTGGATCAGGCCAAGGGCCCATCTAGTCCAGCTCCCAGTATCTCACAGTGGCCCCACCAGATGCCTCTGGGAGCACACGAGACAACTAGATAGCTGTCCCCTGATACCTCTCACCTGCATCTGGTATTTTGAAGTACTTCCCTCTTAAGTCTGGAGATTATACATCCCCATCATGGCTTGTAACCTGTGATGGACTTTTCCTCCAGGAATCTCACATCCTGTGGCAAGGAGTTCCACAGACTAACAACACACTGGGTAAAGAAATCTTTTCTTTTGTCTGTTCTCACTCTCCCAACACTTAATTTGAGTGGATGTCCCCTGGTTCTAGTATTGTGTGAGAGGGAAAAGAGCTTCCCTCTATCCACTTTATCCACCCCCTGCATAAGTTTATACAGCCCAGTCATGTCTCCCCTCAGGCTACTTTTCTCTAGACTAAACAGCTCCGAACACTGTAGCCTTTCTTCATAAGGTAGGTGCCCCAGACCAGTCATCATTTTAGTCACTCCCTTCTGCACCTTTTCCAGTTTCACTATGTTTTTTTTTGAGGTGCAGCAACCAGAACCGTATGCAGTACTCCAGATGCGGCCTTACCAGCGTTTTGTACAATGGCATTAGAATGTTGGCTTTTTTATTTTTAATCCCCCTTTTAATGATACCTAGTATGGAATTGACCTTCTTCATTGCCGCTGCACAGTGGGTTGACAGTTTCATCGAGCTGGCCACCAACGCACCAAGATCTCTTTCCTGATCCATCACGGACAGCACAGAACTCATCAGCTGATAACTAAAGTTTTGATTTTTTGCTGTAATGTGCATTACTTTATGTTTTCTTATATTGAAGCACATTTACCATTTTGCCACCGATTCTCCCAGTTTGGAGAGATCCTTCTGGAGCTCTTAACAATCCCTTCTGGTCTTCACCACCTGGAAAAGTTTTGTGTCATCTGCAAACTTGGCCACCCCATTGTTTATCCCTGTCTCTGGGTCATTTATGAACAGGCTGAAAAGCACAGGTCCCAGGACAGATCCCTGGGGCACACTGCTCTTCACATTTCTCCATTGTGAAAATTGCCCATTGACACCTAATCTCTGTTTCCTGGTTCTCAACCAATTCTCAATCCATAAGAGGACCTACCCTCTTATCCCCTGATAAGTTTTCTCAGCAGCCTTTGGTGAGGGGCCGTGTCAAACGCCTTCTGAAAATCCAGATAGATAATATCCACTGGTTCGCCCACATCCACATGCCAGTGTTGACTTTTTCAAAGAATTCTAAAAGGTTTGTGAGGGAAGATTTCTTAGCTAGGGAAATCTTAGATTCTTATGCTCAGAACTGCACGTAAGAGACAATATGTGCATCACTGTATTGAATATATTGTTTTCTTTGTACTGCTCATTTCAAAACTGAACCTAAGGGCTGGGGTTTTGCTTACTTGATTAAAGTGAATTAAGAACCAGGTTGAGTTGATGCTCCCATTTCATTGCTTTAAATAAAATCTCTGCCTTTGCAGAGCCTCTGCAGCATCAGCATCAATTGTTTTAAATAACTGCTGCTGTGGTTTGAATGCTGGTCAGCTTATTGTTTACCTGCTTCTACTGAATAATGTAAAGCTTTCTAAAGGAAAGGAAAATTCTTTCAATGCACTTTCAACCTCACCTTTCTATGTGGTTGGAAGTGTGTGTGTGGAGGGGGGGTGAGTTGGAGTTACCTAGCCAAACTGCATGCCAAAGCCAACATCACCAGATAGGTGCTGCTGTTTAGTTGGATGCCTGTCCTGTCTAGGCAAATTTTGGATAAAAGATGTAAAAACTTAAATTATATAAAAAAAATATAGCAAAATACAAAACCTTCTCCTAAGAACAAATTAGCCAACATTGTATGTTGGTAAAGAATTACTATAATCACAAACCTGCCATTCTTGATCCGTTTCCTTTTGGCTGGTCTGCAACATGACCTCTGGCATTTCAGAGCAGCCCTAGTGCTCTCCAAAAACTTTGGACTACGAACTCTCTAAATGCAGATTACTGGTCATGCTGGCTAGGGACTGTAGATATCTGGAGGGCATTTCATTTCCCAGTCTCTGTCTTAGGGCCACATCTATTTATCTAGAGCAAATCAAGAGGAAAAGAAAATGCATCTCCCAAGTGTTTGCTTTGGTTAAGGAGAAGGGAGAAAGGGGAGTTCTTGTGTAATAAATAAGCAGTGTCTGCTTAGGCTGATTCACTGCGGTTTCATCTCATGCAGAGTTGGAAAAAGTTACTTTTTTGGACTGTAGCTTCCAGAATTCTTCTGAAGTCTAGGACTTGTATTTCAAAAAAGCAATTTTTCCATTATCACTATGTTATGGCACTTAGTGGCAAGAGAGAGGGAAATGTATTGTCCGGAGCTTGGAACAAAAGATCTGAAAATTAATTTGTGGGTATTAATGGATAAATTAATTAGTTGTCATTAATGTTCAAGCCTGAAATACTTAGTTTATTGAATTAATGGCATTGATTCCTTAATTACATCATAAATTTGAAAATGAACAGCATCACTGACAAAATGAATGACATTTGCTTTGGTACCCTTGACTCCTAGTAGCACTTCTGTTGTTTGCTTCTTCAAAATGTCTTTCTTTGTTACTTCGGAATTACCTTCACCAATTTGGCATTTCCCTCCAGGTAAGACTACAAATCCCAAAATGTAATTGTTAGCTAGGGATGGGTGGCAGTTGAAGTGTGGGTTGAGGGATGATACAT